TTGTTATTTGTCACTTGCTGCCTTCTCCTGCTGGCTCTGTGTTGCCCTCTGCTATGCCACCCCGCCTTGGAACCAGCTGACTACATACTGAAACCTCTACAAACTGTAAGCCAAATAAAGCTCCCCTCCTTAACTTTGGGTGTATTTTATATCAGCAAGGAGAAAAGTAACTAAGACAATGGCTTTACAATATTCATTAAGAAACAAAGTCTTTTAGACCCAGATGGTAAATGGTAACAGCTGTTTTATTTTGTAGGTTAACTGGTCTTGACTAAGACATTTAGAGTATCAGTATTTTTTGAGTATTATAAAGTAAAGTCCTGCCAACATGTTTATTTATGCATCTTCGCAGAGTTGTCACATCATTTTCTTAAGAAATATTCCTACAGTTGAAATTCTCAGTAAAAAAGTATCTCTCTAGAGAGACTGTACCAATTTACATCTCCAAGAGCAATGTTCAAGAGGAAAGCATCAGTTTTAACTTGATATATGCTTGGTTTCATGGCTTATTGCAAAACAAAAGGCAAAACACAAACTATTACCATAAAACAACAACAAAAATGTAAATAATAATTTTAAAAAATCTTTCATATATATTAGACTGATCATTTCAACAAGGCTTTAACTAATAAGAAACAGAGTCTCTTTTTACATTTCCCGGTTGCAGGTTTTGCAATTCAGAGCATTTTCAATTCTCTCAGAATGAACTTCTCACTTATAAAATTATAGTTATATGCAGAATGTAATTACAACATTTTTCTTTGTATGATTTTAAATGTATATATTTATAGCTCAATTTTTTAAGACAGCACAGAAGTTTGCTGCCTCCAGTAGTAATAAGTATATGCATTGACCAAATTTTTGTTTCTAAATATCACCTAAATATTGCCCTCTGATAAAAGGAACCAGGGTTCTTTGCAGAACTAAAGAAAATAAGGTTAAGGAAATTGTTCAAACTTGAAAATCACAAAGATGTCCTTCAGTAGATAAATGAATAGAGTATTATATGGATAACAGAATATTATTCAGTGCTAAAAAGAAATGAGCTATCAAGTCAGCAAAAGACACAGAGAAACTTCAAATGAATATCAGTAAGTAACATAAGCTAATGGGAAAAGGCTACACACAATGTGATTCCAATAAGACATTAGAGAAAAGGCAAACTATGGAGACACCAAATGATCAATGGTTTCCAGGGCTTAGTGGGGACTAGGTGGAGCAGAGAGGGCTGTAATGGCAGGAAGCTGTTCTGTGTGATGTTGCAGTGTTGAACACATATCATTACGCATTTGCCAAAATATACAGAATGTATAAGATGAATGAACACTAATGTGAACTAAAGACTTAGGATGATAATGGTGTGTCAACAAAGAAAGAGAGGGAGGTAGAGAGGGAAAAAGAAATGGAAAGGAAAGGAAAGGAAAGGAAAGGAAAGGAAAGGAAAGGAAAGGAAAGGAAATTGAGAGATAAAGGAAAAGAAAGGACAGGAAAGACAAGGAAAATACAGGTAGTAAACAGAACCTATAAACAAAAGAAAAAAACTGGACTATGCTGTTGTACCAGAGAGTAGGAAGTATAGGACAGGGCATATCAAAGAGAAAAGAATCTGCAGGAATATGTAGTAACTAAAACTAAACCAGTTTAAGCAACAAAGTAAATAACAGTATTAAATGATAAGTCAACTGCAAAGTAAATGTCATTCTAATGTAAATGACTAAATAAATAAAGGTTCATAAAGAATTTCAAATATTCCCTCTAAGTGACGGTTACTCAATCTCCCTCTCCAAATCACACTATAGGTTAGAGTAGACTAGACTTGGTGATGCACTTCCAAAGAACAGATTAGGGAAAGGGGACAAGTTCAGGGTAGAAACTTGACAAACAATACTTTATCCAAGTAATGCAGTTAAGGTACTATATAGGTGTCATCACATTCTTCCTGATACACGATGAGCACTTTGCCTCTGTGGTATTCTTCCAAAAACTCATAAAGCCTCAATTTAATCATGAGAAAAAACATTAGACAAAACCAGATTCTACATGTCATCAAAGAGAAAGCCTGAGAAAGTATCAGTGACGCAGGAGACTTGGAAACATGACAACTAAACTTTTACATGGTACCATGAACTGATTCCTAGGAAAGCAAGGAAATACTAATAGAAAAACTGCTGAAATCCATAAAGTCTGGAATTTAAAGTTATACACAAACATTAGACTCTTAAGTTCTGACAAGGTAATGGAAGATGATAAAAAAAGGAGGAAATATTTAAAAACTGTATACTACATTTGCAACTATTCTTTAACAAAATCATTCCAAAACAGAATTTTAAAAAAAACTTTAAAATGGAACCATAAACTCACTAAACTAACATAGACATCTTTTTGGAAAATGCTAACCTTCTAAATTTAACTCCCACTTATGCCATTTAAAGTCTTTTAAATGAAATTAAAAAATAAAGCTGAGGGAAAGAGGAGTAACAATTTCTTATTGGAGATTAAATTATGCATTAACCAGAAACATGATGTACTGTATATTAATCGTCTTAGAACTATGCATATTAAAATAGGAACATTTGATTGACATTATTAAAAGTACTTCATAACACATTATAAATATAAAACCATATTCCATGAATTTAATCCTCTATCAAGTTTTACTGTGTTTTAATCCTCTATTAATTCCTGAGATCCACGCCACGTTGGAACTTAGGACACTGTGAAACCAAACAACCAGCCTGCCTCCCTGCTAAGTAAGCAATAGTGAACCTACTGATGCAGGGCCTAGAGTGAAATATCCCACTTCCTCTACACTCGCCCCCCTCCACCGCCCATTAGCAAATGGGAACCAGAAATCTGAGTGTCTCCTGGGAGGTTGACCATAGCAAATAAGGGGGACTTCCTTCTACCATCTCTTTGAAGGCAAATATTTTTATTACTGTTTTGCTCTTTTCTGATTAATGGTACTGCTCTATTCAATATTGTTTTGATAAGTTCTATAGTGTTCTATATTTCATCTCAATTTGATATACGTGATTGAAAGAACAACTGTTATAAAGATAACAAAATATACTGTGATACCTATTACTGTTATCCTGGTAACCTGCTGTGAAGTTCTGTACCAATTTCACTGCATGATCTTAGTTGGCTTTATTCTTTATTGTTCTGTTGTTTACTTTCAAAATAAAATTTTAAAAAATCCTCTATCAAGTTTTTATGTGTTCTGTAGTTCACCGCACTTTACTGGGAAAAAAGTATGTTTAATACATTAGTAATATTATAATACAGAAACAAATATTTGGTAGATTTACATTATTCCTATATCATGACACTTTTGATAGGGAGACCCCTTGACAAACTCCGAAAAGTTGTTAAGGAGGACAGCGTTAAAAAGGTGATGTCCTTTCAATAAAATAGGGAGTAACTTTGAAAAGTTACTTTATTACTTAAGGAAATATATTTGGTCATTATGCTATTTGCTATTGAACTAATTTTCCCAGACTGAACTTACATGTTAACTTGTAGGTTTGGGGCCAGTAGAGTTGCAAATTTCCTTTAGGGAAAAAATATAATACCAAAGGTATCGACCAATTTGTAACTAACATAGAGATCTTATTCTATAAATTGTTACATTGCTTATGAATACAGTATTCCTCAGAACTCTCTGCAATACACTCTTCATCTTGTTCCTGCAAGAATTAATGAATTGGATAAAATCTTTGGTACATGTTTACTTATATTTGTGTAAGTGATAGCTTTCATTTTTTAAAAAATTATACTTTGATAGGCATAAGAAACTTAACCATGACATGCCTGACACGGGTTTACCCACGACCAGCTCTACAAATTCTACGATATCACAGGCTATTATGACAGTTTTGCTGCATAATATTCTTACATAGCACTAATTTTTTTGATTTTTTGGGGGAGGAGTATCGGGGATCGCACACTTGCAAAGGCAAGTGCTTATGCTATTAAGCTAAATCCCCAGCCCCAATATTCTTGATAATACTGTCAATTACTTCCAAAGGAACTATTAAACAACATATTTCTGTCTCAAATTGGAAAATAATCTAAGTATATGCTATTTTCAAGATCATCATTATTATCTCTTTATTGCACGACTAGTTTCTCATCCTGCCAAAAAATATGTACACAAATAAACATGCAATTTATTCTATTGCTTTCCTTGAGTTTTTACATCTCATACTTTAAGAACAATGGGGAATAATACAGATTTCTTTCTTTTCATTCAGACTATTTTCTAGAGATTTTTAAAGTCCCAATCCTTGCGTGAGACAATAAAGACTGTTACAGAGGAAATTTAGTACTTGGGTCAGCATTGAGAAATGACCTACAGAAACATAGAATGTAAGACTTATACAGGATGAGAGCCTCTTGTTCAATCTGATTTAAGGAAAAGGAATATAATGACTTTTCAGAGGGCTAATAGTGACTAAAATTCATTGGTTCTTAAATGACTTGCTCATGTATCTCACAATAGATCTACGGGTAAAACATCTTTATTTGAATGAATTATGGGGAAAAATTTTTTTTCATTTGTCCTAGGTACTTTTCTTAATGGTGACATGGTCTGGCTCAGGTATAAAGTAGGAAAGTAAGAATAATTAGTTTTAAAAATCCTTTATTTTTTAGTTTATTTTTAATTTTTTTAACTAAATCAAAAGATTAGACTAATGTAATTTTTTTTAAATTAGTAACTTGGACATGTTCAAATTGTTAATCTAAATATACATTGATAAACTCCAGCAGACTAATGATAAAATTAATTTTTGTTTTGAATATTATAAAGGAAGCACTAGGCTGGGTGCTTGGTGACATGGCACCTGTCTGGCAAATGCAAAGTCATGAGTTTGATCCCGCATACCAAAAATAAATACATAAATAAATTAATTAATTTTAAAAAATAAAAAAGGAAGCACTATTTCTCTTTTATCCAAACTACAATTAGCCTAAGTACAAGAGAAAAGAAAATTCAGTACCCTGACATCACTTCTAGATGAAGCTGTCCTGAAACGGTTAAGAATGCTGGAACATTGAAGAAATTCTCCTTAGGTATCTTTGTTTTTCCTGAAGGCTGCAAATAAAAAACACAAAAAGTTATTATGTACGGATTTTGCTTTGTTTTTCACATTCACAGCCACAACTAAAAATTACAGTGCAATTAAAACCTATGTGAGAATTGTCCATTCTCATGAAAACAAAGGCAGTTCTTGGCAATACCTAAAGGAGAAAGCTCCTTTAGGTATGCTCCACAGTTTCAAAACATACAATAACCAAAAAGAAGCGCTTTTGTCATAAAATGTACTTTTAGTTTTGGAATCAGGAATTGAACTCTGGACCTCACACTTGCCAGGCAGACAACACGATCCTGAACTGTACCTCTGGCCCCTAAAATGTACTTCTTCTGAAAAAGTAATCTGATTAAAGGACAAAGCACAAGAATTTAAAATAGTAAATGTGAATAATTACATAATTTCTTCTACTTTTGACCCGCAATTGAGACTTTTCTCAAGGTAAAAGCCCCTAATGCCAGGTGTGGTAGCACATGCCTATAATCCCAGCACTTGAGAAGCTGAGGCAGGAAGATTGCCATGAATTCAAGGTTAGTCTGGACTACAGATAGAGCTTGTCTAGAAAAGAAAAGCAAAGCAAAGCAAAGAAAAGAAGCCTCTGAAACATATTGTAGTGTTATTAAAATATTAAGTTTTTAAGATAGATTTTATAAATACCTTATACACTTTCAGCCCTCTGTATTCAAAGGTCCTGCATCTGCAAATTCAACCAACCTCAGACTGAAACTACTAAAAAAAATTTCCATTCATGCTGAACACACTTTTTCCCTTGTCATCATCTCCCAAATAATATAGCCTAAAATCTATTTACATAGCATTTACATTGTGTTAGGTATTGTAAGTAAATTAGAGATTACTCAAAGTGCAATGGAGGATGTACATAAGTTATATGCAAATACTACACCTTTATAGGAGACTTGCACACATATGCAGATTTTACATTCTTTGAGGTCCTGGAATCAATCTCTCACAGACACCTAAGGGTAGCTATATTTAACTTTAACCGCAACTATGAGGTAGAAAGGACAGGACCCCAGTTTTAAAAGAGATATTTATAAAGTTACAGCATAAACAAGATTATGCCATTTGAAACAAATAGTTAACATTTATAAGAAGTGAGCTTAAGAAAGCTATCTGGAGGCCAAACATAACAAACTATATAGCTTTTTAAAGTCTAAATCAAGTTCTGACTTTTATTCCCATTCTTTTAGAGAGAAGTTCAATTACCTATTCTTGTATTCTAAACTATGCATTTATCTGAACACGTTTTAGTTCAATAGTGCAGTTAGTATAAAAGCAATAAAGCCAATTTTAAATATGTAATAGATAATATAAGAATCCTTTTAACAGACTTAGTTTCAAACATTAACAATGAAAATGAAATGAAGGTACATTAAATTTTACTGGTTGTTCTAATGATACTTCATAAAATATATAGTTTTATGTGTATACATAAGAAACTACTAATTGAAAAAATTTTTAAATTGCCTATTATTTATTCAAATACTTTGATACTGGCCCTAAAGGGTATATGAATCCATTTAAAAAACTCTCTCAGCTGGAGGTGTAGCTATGGGTAGACTGCTTGCCTAGCACACGTAAGGAGCTGGGTTCAGTCAGCAGCACCACACACACACATGCAAATTCATCTTTATCAGTTACCAAGGATATTGTTCCCAACAGTTTATCTGTTCAAAATTTAAATATCAGATCTGATATGTTAACATTTCAAACTAAAAGTGAAGTTCTATGACATTTCTTTTAAATTTTAATTTTTTATTGGTATATGTTTGTGACACATAAAAATAACATTCATTTTGGGGAATTCTATACATATACATAGAAAATGTTTTAGTATAATTGTACAGTTAATATAAAAGCACAGTGAGTATATACACAGACATACATACATATTTGATCATTTTGGATTCCCCTTACTTCCATCTTCCCCTCTCTTCCCTATCTCCAAAAAGTCAGCTTTCTGTTTTCTACCATCTGCCCTTTATTTTATTCTTCATTTTACTCATATTTTGAGCTTCTCATATGAGAGAAACCATGAGATATTTAACCTTGTCTGATTTATTTCACTTCACATTATCATTTCCAGATTTATCCATTTTCCCACAAATCACTCAAATCCATCCTTTTTTATGGCTGATAATTCTCCATGTGTATAGCGTTCTCCATATACCACATTTTCTTTGTTGGTTGATGTAAGTCCAGGTTGTTGCATAGTTTAGTTATTACAAATTGTGCTGCTGTAAACATGAATGGATGCATATACCACTATAGTACGATGCCTTTTTAACTCTTTGCAGAAAAAACCCAGGAGAAGTAGAGCTGAGTTAAAGGAAATTTCTACATTTATTTTTTTTAAAAGACTCTCCATACTGATTCCCACAGTGGTTATACCATTTTGCATTGCCATCAACAACACAGAAGGGGTCCTTTCCCTCCACATCCTCACCTGCATTTATTGCTTTTTGTGTTCTTAAGGATAGCCATCCTGACTGGAGTGAGATGAAATCTCAGACTTGTTTTAGTTTGCATTTCTCTAATGGCTAAAGACACTAGACACTGGGCTGGGGATTTAGCTCAGCGGCATAAGCGCCTGCTTTACAAGCAGGCAGTTGTGAGTTCGATCCCTGGTACCGATAAAAACGAAAAAGACAAAAAAAAAAAAAAAAAAAAAAAAAAGACGCTAGACACTTTTTTCATGTGTTTATTGGCCAATTGTATTTCTTGTTATGAAGTGTCTATTCAGATCATTTGCCCTTTTTCTCTTTTAATTGGCCCATTTGGCTTTTGGAGACTAGTTTTTTGATTTCTAGATATTAGTCCTCTATCAGAAGAGCAACTGGCAAACTTTTTTCCCATTCTGTAGGTTGTCTCTTTCCCCCTGTTGATTCTTTGCTTTTTTGTGCAGAATCTTTTTAATTTGACGTAGTCTCATTTGTTGATTCTTGGTGTTATTTCTTGTGCTACTAGAATTCTATTCAGAAAGTCTTTGCCTATCCCTATAGCTTCAATGTTTCCTCTATTTTGTTTTCTACAGTTTCTTTCTGTTTTTACATCTAGCCTTTGATCCATTTGATGGCAGTAGAGGGTAAGAGACATGGGACTAGTTTCATTCCTCTACGTGGATGGTCAATTTTTCTATGGCCATTTGCTAAAGAGGCTTTCCCCCAGCATATATATATATATATATATTTGGTCTTTTTCATTTTTATCGATACCAGGTATCGAATTCACGACCGCCTGCTTGCAAGGCAGGTGCTTATGCCGCTGAGCTAAATCCCCAGCCCCCCCCCCCAGCATATATTAAGCCCTCTTTTCAAGGATCAGATGGCTAAAGATGCATGGGGATTATTTCTGTCTTCTTTGGTATTTCTTCACTATTTAAATGAAGACTTGCTTTCTCCAAAAGAGCCAACAACTTTGTAAGACTACCATGCTTTCTCTTTTCCTTCACATTTTAGTATATAATTTATATGGGGTTTTTATTTCAACTTTACTTAATTATAAATTTTATTTCTACTTTATACTGCAATTAATCATTATATTGGTTTAAATTTTTTCTGTATCATTGTATCATCTATAAACTTTATTATCTCAATGAAAGATTTTTGTCCTAATATAAATTACTGAATGTTATGGTGGTATTCTAACATGGCAGAAGGTCAAAGCAAAAATTTCTGATGACCACTTCTTCCTCCTTCTCCCTCAGCCCTGATTGCAACTTCCTCTTTCCTTTCTCATGTGGACAAAGAAAATTCCAATCAGTTCCTCAGACTTCATTAACACCTACACCAACTCTGTCTCTGGCCAGAGGTCATATAACCTTCAGCCCCCTTTGTATCCAGCCAGATGAGGAGCCCAGCCTCACTACTCTGTGTTCTCAATAAAGGCCTCTTTCTTTCTTTTCTTTTTCTTTTTTTGCCTCTATTGTGCAGGAAAACCTAACACTGAAAAAGTCATTGTAAAATATTTTAAAAAGTAATTACTAAATGGATGTCAACAAATCTTGTTGGAAACCACGAATTTTAAATTGAGGCTAAGGTCCTGTGGAAGCAGTGCTTGCCCTGCCTTGTGGGTCAACTGAAATGCTGAAACTCCTGCTTTTTCTCAGCTATTATGGTTGAAGCCTCTAAGGTTCCTGGTGTTCACAGGGCAAGATGAGATATGCTGAGGACAATACAGCGAGGGCAGTTACTCAGGTGTGCTGAAGGGTCTTAACTTGTTTCTTTTATGACGATAAACTTGCTCCTCTACTTCTCTGCTCCCAGGAAAAGTACACTTTTCCCCTTCCTTGGCATCAGGCTACTGTAACCACCACTGCTGTTCTCTGATGCCCCTTATGAAAATGTGCCTATGTGCTCAATAAATAGTGGCAAGCTTGGAGAGCCTTTCTCTTGGCCCGTCCCGAGACCCTGACCTCCCTCCCCCACTTTATGCATTCCTAATACTGTCCTGTCTTGTATTTCATCCTTCACCATACCCCACATACAGGCAGCTGGGGGTCTTGGATAGGTCTTCAGCAAAATCTGATAAGGGAATCTCCAAAGCCCACTCCTACTTCACAAAAACTGAAGATGATTTACAAACGAGAACTTTGAAAAACAGTTAAAGATGTGCAACAACTAAGTGAATTTAAAATCAAGAAAAGGGCATCTTAAAGTCTTGGGGGACACCCCAAGGTTCCCCTGAGGAACGTACGGCTACAAAAGATCGTAGACTTACCTAAAAAAAGATAGCACACTTTTTTTTAATGTGGATCATTCTCCAAAATAGACCACATACTGAGTCATAAAACAAATGTCAAAACATTTTAAAACACTGAAATATTTTAGAGTTGTGCTTAGATGTTCCCCAAAGCCTCATTTGGTCACTAGTGGTGCTTTTTCATAGGTGGCTGGATCTAGAGTGTGTGACACTGGAATTGATACGGTGCAACGATAGGATCAAGATTACTAGGGTTACTTGTGTGAGTGCTACCTGCCCT